TGTCTGGTGCAAAGCCAGGCCCGAGCCGTCACTGACGCCTCTCCCAGCGTGACCCTGCGAGCTCTTGGGGTGTGCGCAGGGGTCCTGGGCTGTGGCCAGTCAGCCGCCCTGCACACAGAGAGAGGATCTCTGCTCTCGCACCTGTGGTTGCAGAGGATCTCTCCTGTAAGGAGGTGCAGCAAGGTCTCCGAGTGACCTAAGTGTTCAGCCCCAGGACTTTTATGGGGGAATCCCTGTGTGCTCTGTCTCTCAGGTTCTTGCAGAACTCCTCAGGTGAAGAGGAAAGCTCTTTAAAGGGACTACTGGACTTCCAGTTTGGAAACACTTGGCCTGACTCAGCCTAATGATCCTTTTCTTTCTCTCTCGACTCCAGCCTCTGCTCCTACATCATTTGAAGGCCCTTTTGGCAAGGTCCTCCATCAGGTGAAAGCTGTGGTAGACACACCTCGCTTCTCCAAGGACTACAAGTGCAGCAAGATCTTCTACATTCTCTGCCCTCTCAACTTGAATGACATCCCTGACATTGAGGTAAGACCAGGGAGGAGCATGGCTGGGAAGTGCCAAGGCTTCAGCGCTGGTCCTGCGTGCCGTCTGGGGAATAACCGTGTGCTCGGGCAGCGCTCCCTGACTGCATGCCCTGTCTGTGCAGGAGCAGGACAGGGACTCCTGATCTGTCCTGCCTTGCCATCAGTCCCTGCTCCAAGTGATTTTTGACTCTTCTGCATGTTGCTTTGAAGGATTGAGGTGAATTTTCAGCAAGCAGAGAGAGGTGTTAGCTGATAGCACCAAGTGCTCGTGGAGGCCTGGGCTTGGGGAACTTGCTGTGGAGGGCAGAGCGACTGATAGGGTAGCAGAACTGGGGGGATGGAGAAGTGAGACCTGTTGTCTGTGACACTGTTGTGTTGCTGGTTCTTTGTGTCCTCTTAGATGAAATATTCCTGCTTGCTTGTTTTGAATCTCTGTTTTCCTGGAGGCTTTCTGACTCTCTTGAGCCAACGTCTCTGTCTCTCTGCTGTCCTGCAGCAGCCCAACACGATGTCAGTCACCAAGAAGTTCAACTACAAGCTTGTGAAAAGTGGCAACATTATCTTGACCGCCACCTCGGATCTGAAAGGGTACATCGTGGGGCAAGCAATCCAGCTCCGCACGGACATAGAGAACAAATCGGGCCGGGACACCGGGGCTGTGGTAGCCAGTCTGCTCCAGGTAACCATCCGAAAGGGCGATTTTCCAGCTTGTGCTGGTACTCCGTACCCTGAGGCCTCTGTGAAACTGGGGCGGTTCTCACCAGCGTGCATCTGTGCTGCGTGTGGCTGGGAGGTGGCAGTGAGGAGCCCAGACCTCTGACCAGCTCTGTTTCTCTCTGCCTTCCTGGGGAAGGAGGTGGTAGAACTTGTCTTGCTCGCACCGACTCAGCCTGTCACGTAACGATGGGCATTGCTGCTCCGCAATATGCGCGGTACGTTTGTGCTCGTGTGCTTCTTTGACAAAGCAGTTGGGTGGTTTGGGGTCCTGACTTACATTTGTGGGAGACAGAAGACCATCTGCAATCCCTCTGCTAGCTGTATTTTCTCCTGTCTGCACAGAAAGTGGCTTATAAATCCAAGCGGTGGATTTATGACCTGAGGACCATCGCGGAGGTGGAAGGCTCGGGAGTGAAAGCCTGGAAACACGCAGAATGGAAGGAGCAGATCCTCGTTCCGGCACTGCCCCAGTCCATTCTGCAGGGCTGCAGCCTCATACATATCGACTACTACATCCAGGTGAGTACGTCCGTGCTCCCGCTGAGCTCCAGCGCGCCGTGCTGCAGCTTCTGTGCCCGCTCCCGGTCTGAGCTCAATCGCTGAGCTCCGTAGCTGCGTGGCGCGGGTGGCCCTCGTGTCAGGTCAGCCTTCCCGGTGCAGTGTGTAATGAAGAGGCTGCCACTGTTTTTCCTTCTCTTCCAGGTTTCCCTCAAGTCGCCGGAGGTTTCGGTCACTCTCCCCATTTATATTGGTAACATCGCTGTGAACAGGGTGCCTCTGAGCCCCTCCCGGTCCATCCAGCACATACCATCTGCGGTGGTACCCAGTGCCCCACCCGAGGAAGAGGAGGCTGCCGGTGGTTATCACCCGATGGACAATGTCTCGATCCCCACCAAAAGCCATTCCCAGCAGCAGCCGTTCAGCTACGCCCCCGGACTGAGCTTCCAGGAAATACGGGTGGAGTCGGAGCAGACGGGCTCTCCAAACCATCCCACGCTCTGCCTGTCGACGGGAGCCACTGTCCCTTACTACGCTGAGGGGAACGTGGTGCCCGTCCCCACGGCCAGCTCCCTCATTTTGCCTCCGGAGTACAGCACGTGGGGCTACCCGTACGGTGAGCAGCCCGCTCCGGAGATCCAAACGGGCTGGCGGCGGGGTAGCAAAGGTCTCCTACAAGAAGAGTCTCTGTGCTAGCTGTGAGCTGGGTGGGAATATAGGGATGTCAGCCTGCGGGGGCTGATGTCAGAGGGGATGGTGAGATCTCTCGGCCTGCTTTAGCCTCCGGAGGAGTCCCCTCTGACAGCTGTAAGAGCTGGCTGTCCGTTCCCACGTCTGCGCCCATGCCTGCCCCGGGCTCATTGTGAGAGGATCTCCCTGTTCTTAAATGAGCTTTCAGCCTCCCACTGACAGAAAAACTTCTTGGCTTGTGGTGAGGCTGGTGGGAGCAGAGCCAGTAAAATGGCGTAACTGAAATCTTCTGTCTGACTTGGAGTGGGCCTGCAGCTGGGCTGAAGAGACGAGCTGTGGGGGCGGGAGCTGAGAGACTGTCCAGGGCAGAAAAGCTCGGGGAAATCCCGGCATGGTGGGTTCCTGGAGCCGTGCTTGTCCCAGGCGGCTGGGTGGCAGGGACCAGCAGTGTCCCTTAGCACGGTCCTACCCCAATAAACCCGTACGTTAGCGCTGGGCTGACGAGACACTCGATGTGCCGCTTCAGCAGACGGAGCACGGGTCAGCTGCGATCTGGAGGTGCACGAGGATGCTTGTGAAAGAAGGGGAGGAGCAGAACAGGACTTTGAGGTGCTGATTGTAGCCCCTGGAATAGGGTAGGACTGGCTGGCTCGCATTCTGCGTGTGCACGTGCAAACCCCGTGTATTTCAGCAGGGCAGGTTGTAGGGTCCTGGAGAGAGAGTGCCTGCATGCGTGACGCGTGTGCGTGTTGGCAGTTTGCTTTACTCTGCACCGAGTTACATAGACTGGGGTGAAGGAAACCTCCCAAACACCCACTGTAACCGCTCCTGTTCTCTCTTTCCCCCGCAGAGGCACCTCCATCCTACGAGCAGAGCTGCAGCAGTGCCAACTCCAGCATCACCAACGGCAACTAGCCTCCCCCGCTTCAGGTCCCGCTGGCGCTGCCCACCCCCGGGCGCCACGGCTCCGGCTGGCGCTGCCCCCCCCCGGGCCCCACGGCTCCCCTGCCTGCCGCAAAGTCTGGTACAGCACAAGGTGTCTTTCTGTCTCTCTGGCTGCTCGGTGGGGGGAATGGCACAGCCCGGCCTGGGCTTTTGAAGTCTCTTTCTAGGGAGGGGGGAAAAAACCAAAAAGGGCACCAAAGCAGCCCGCGTGTGTGCGTGGGAGAGATCTGGGAAACCAAGCCGTCTCCTGCTGCTGCACCAAGTGCTGGAGAACTGCTTCTGCCCCAGGGGTGCCCTCTGCAGCAGCCTGTGTTTAAAGTACTGTAGTCAACACTAACTGCTTTACTATCAAAGCACCTGCGATGCCTTATCTGAAACGCTCCTGACTTGGCATGTCTCCACTGTAGGTGAGGGCCGGGCTCTGTGGACTTTCTCTTCTCTTTTAGGGGCCATGTGCTCTCCAGAAATGCTTTTGACAGCCCTTCCTCCTTGTCCTCGTAGGTCCTAAGGGTAGCTGGAACAGGAGGTTTCTCGGAGTAAGCAGGTTCGAAAGGTCAGGGACTCTTAAAAAGCCAAAAGCACAAGCCCTTGCTATACCTGCTATGTTGTGGGGTGAGTGACTGGCAGCCTTTGATCCTCTCGCAGCCGGCTGGACCGCTGCCTGCGTGTGGTGAGAGGAGAGCGGGCTCTGGCAGCGGGGAGCTCGCTGGGGCACTCGCTTGTAACCCAGGAGGCTCTGGTGAGCTGTGGAGGGAGAGCCCGGCGTGGATGAACGGCAGCAGTCAGCCTGCGAGCGGGGGGACCGGACCCCCCGCGTCCCATCTCCCACCCCCGCAGGCTGCCTCTCCATCCCAGCTGCCGCTGCCTTTGGCAGGCCAGAAGGACGTGACAATCAAGTTACACAGATCTGTGCGATGCTACCTCTGCGTCTGCCCAGGGACCCTGTCCGGGGAAGCCCTTCCCTCTGGCACGACCCTCCCTCGGGGCTGCGTCCCTCGCAGGAGCAGGCCGCGCCGGCGTGCCAGGGTGCTGGGCCTGGGGACTGTTCTCTCCGCCAGC